CCTCTCCTCCCAGTTTAGTATCATCAGCAAACTTGCTGAGGGTGCACTCTGTGCCTTCCTCCAGGTCACTGATGAATAGATTGAACAAGACTGGACTCAGGACTGACCCCTGGGGGACACCACTAGCCACAGGCCTCCAACTTGACTCTGCGCCATTCACCACAACCCTCTGAGCTCGGCCATCCAGCCAGTTCTCAAGCCACCTCACTGTCCCCTCGTCTAGCCCACACTTCCTGAGCTTACCTAGGAGGATGTGATTGGAGACAGTGTCCAAAGCCTTGCTGAAGTCCAGGTAGCCTTGCTGAAGTCCAGGTTCCCCCATATTCCTTCCCTTCACCCTCTTCTGATATTTCTTGGACCTCGCCATATATTTTGGACGTATTTGCCACAGTTGAGATACAAAGGATTAAGCTAGAAAAAATATGTTACAGTTCTAAACTGTGCACAGTAATTTCCCAATTTTCTGTATCTTATGCTGAGCACACCTTGTGAGATGAATATGTGAGGATGTGCAAGAAGTCTTTAACCCTTAAATAAATTTACTTGATTATGTTATCCAAAAAGTGAGAATTTGGGGTCTGAAGTACTGATGATCTTTACAATTGTATCATGTCATAAAAAGACTTTTTAAAATTAATTTTTGTATTTCTTTAGCAAAAAAAAACTTTTCCAGATTTCAGTCTGGACTCTGATTCTTTGTCCTATTTCTTTGAACTCACCAGGTTAATATTTCACTATTTTTTTTGGGGGGGTGGTCTTTCTTTTATTTTCTTCTATGGTTCTCCTTTGATTTTAGTATAGTGGGTCTTCAACATGGGCTAGAACTTAATAGATTCTTCCTTTAATAAAATCCAGAACATGATCTTTTTAAAAGAGCCAAATTAAATCACTAAAACCTCTCTACGTGCAGTCTTGGCTGAACCTTTATGATGGAGAGCTGTTACAGCTTGAACAAACACTCTGAAACAACTGTCGTCCTCACATACGTCAACATGATTTGGAAGCAGTATTTCTAGCTTGCTCTGCTTAAAGCGAAGAGTCTGGAGATTATGTTCAATTTTTGTTATGTTTATAGGAAATGATGAGATTTACTTGAACGAGAAACTCATTTTGGTTGATAACATAGGAACTGATGGAATTGTGCTATTTCTTATGTATGAGAACACTACCGGTTATACAGCGATACTACTGGGTTAGTAATTCAAAATCTGGTGTTGTTTTTTATTTTATTTTAAGTCTAGGTTGGGAGCTTCATTTGAAGTTGGACTGTGTTCTGATACACTGATATAAAGACAGCCATCAAGATGTCTAGGGAGAATGTAAGGTTAGGATCGCACAGTTGTGTATACATGCTTATAAATAGTTAACTGTAGGATGTTTGGCAGTGCCTGAGAACACTGTATAAACTCACAATGAAGGCAAATCTTGACTGCGCTAACAAGTTAGCTGACACAGGTGAGAAGAGTCTTTAGGGGCGAGAGAAGAAAAGGCCAACGGAGCTCCCCCCTCCCCAGCAGCTGATTCCAGCAGCGAGAGCTCGGCTCCCGCTCGGCCACGGTCTAGCAGTTGATTCCAGCAGTGGTGGATTGGTTTGAATTAGAGCATTCCAGCATTCTTGCACTTCCCCTTGGCAGGGGAAAACAATCATGTATGTATAAGCAGTACTAAAATTACTATGCCAAGATCAACAGTTTTCAGTCTATTTTTCAATCCATTACTCACTGACATTTATATGAATAGACAAAGCCTGTTTAGACCAGTCCTAGT